CTTTAAAAGCTACATTTTGATACCTGGATCATTCTGATATCAGAATTAAATCCATATATATGACTTAATTTGTCTTGTTGGTTACAATAATACAAAAATATTTGGTCTGAATCCTAATTTTTGATGTCCTTATAAAGAGGAAACCTCAAATTATATTTGAATATTGAGATTTCCCAGCTAAAAAGAAACAAAACTTTGAGATAGGATGTCTAGGGATAATAGAAGTTACGTTTAAGGCTTGGGATGGTTAGCTGTCGTGCATTTTCTACACTTTTCAAAAATATAATAGGTTCCTYCTCCTTGTTCTCATCTCATCAGTAACTGACATGAGGGGGGAACCCGACGTGTCAAAACCTGACGCAGAGGGAACCTTGGACAAGCATTGATATGTGACGAGTTGAGAGTGAGATTGACCTGGAATACCTGCAGTATAATCTAACCCAGGACCCTTTAATCCCAGGTATAGTCCAAACTAGGGGCCTAAAGTTTTGTTTACTTGATAAGACCAAGTTGTAAAGTCATCTGCCACACTCTGAACGGCCGACTCGTTTTCCCGCAGTAAAAGCAGAAAGAGGCTGAAACTCACGGCGTTGTTGGGGTGGAAGATGTACGAGGCGGGGGAGTTGTCCAAGATGAGGGTTTTGTTGAGGTCTCTCCCCAGGCGGCTCAGATCTTTCACGTAGCATCCTTGGTGGAAGACGCAGGACTCCCGGAAGAGCCGAGCCCGGAACACGCCGAACTGATCCAGCAGGTCCGTGACGGGGTCAGCGTACTGATGGCAGAGCGGGGGGAAGCAGGGAGGGGTGCGCAGGGAGAGGCTAATGAAGCACTTTCTATTACTGCTGGAGATGTCTTCAACAGAATGCTACGAGGTGCTGCTGCAGCTGTCTCTGTGGTGCTTTAGCTTTGAATTTAGTGCAGACAGGAAGTTCAGCTCATTCAGGGGCTAAAACTTGTGTTTAGGCTTTTCAAAATATTCAACCTTATCTTAGACAAGTAAAGATTTCCACAACTTTTTCATCTGCTTGCTTTAATGTTCTAAGCTACTTTTAGCTTCTGTCGTACTTTTAGCTAGATTGAAGCTACTGGAAGCTAGTATTCTGTTATTATTAGCTTTTAGGTGACCTTTCTATGTTTTTTGCTAATTTAATCTTTTAGTTAGCACTTTACTGCATTTAGCATTTGGCTAACCTTTTGCTACTTCAGCTTCTAGCTAGCATTCTGCTTCTTTTTGTATCAACAATTCAGTTTTAGCTTTATACAGCAATCAACATATGGGATCAATCTTGTGCCCGCAGGAACTGAATTTGAATTGCTCAGATTGAATCTGAATGTGCATGTTTTGAAATTGAATGCTTTGGTTTGAAAATGAATTTTACAAAATTGAAACTGAATTTAATGATTTGAATTTGAATTATTTGCTTTGAAACTGTATTTTGGTTTATTAAAAACTCAGTTTGACTACTTTCACTTTCAGTTCCATAATTCAAATTATTGTGTCCCACATCCTGGTCCTTGAGAAAGCCAGGCAGAGTAATCAAACACAGACCCACAGATTTATGTTTCACTTTGGTGAAGTTTCCCTTCTACATGTAACACAGCTGATGCAATCCACCGTAAAAGTGACAAAAACAGACAAAGTTATTTTATTGCAGTGATTAATTTTACCTTTATGTAGAAAATGTTACGTTTACATCACATCATGGATCACATAATGATCAGATGCTGCTGCTGACTGATCCATGATGTGATGTAAATGTAACATTTTCTACATAAAGGTAAAATTAATCACTGCAATAAAATAACTCTGTTTTTGTCACTTTTATAGTGGATTGCATCAACTCTGTTACATTACAGAAGGGAAACTTCACCAAAGTGAAACATAAATCTGTGGATCTGTGTTTGATTACTCTGACTGGCTTTCTCAAGGACCAGGATGTGGGACAAATATCTGAATTTTGGAACTAAAATTGAATTTTGGAACTGAAAGTGGTCAAGTAACATCAAGTAGTCAAACTGAATTTTTAATAAACCAAAATATAGTTTCAAAGCAAATTAATTCAAATTCAAAACTTTAAATTCAGTTTCGATTTAGTGAAATTCTTTTTCAAACCAAAGCATTCAATTTCAAATTATGCACATTCAGATTCAATCTGAGCAATTCAAATTCAATTCCTGCGGGCACAAGATTGATTTATCCMATACTCAGCATTCACACTGAGTTTGCCTGGTTATCTCGTGTTATTAACTCTTTAGGTTTCCTGTGTGATTAAAAAACACTTGATGATGAAACTCTGCTTTATAATTTATCATGACTGACAAAGAGTGCACAACAGCAAGTTAAAAACCCATTATCACAGGCTGCTCAGACCGAAAACGCCTGGATCCAGTAAAGAAAACAAGTGAAAACTGTCAGCTTGTTCCCTTCTAGAGCAGAGGTGCCCAAAGTGGGGCCTGCGGGCCAAAATTGGCC